CACACACACACACACACACATATATATATATATATATATATATATATTACTCTTTGAGGGAATACATTGTGTTTGTATTTATGTGTTTCTGGGTTCTGGGTAGTGAGTGTGTCATTATAGGTGTGTAATTGAAACCACAGACATAATGTGTATGCTGCTTTTTAAAATTTGTACTTAATGCTTCATCTTAAATATATTTAGATCATTATAACTGCTTCAGAATAGATTCTAATCATTGCACCACATTTTGTAGCATGAATGCATCCTAAGTTAATTTATTTAGCTCCTTCTCTAACAGTGAGCATTTGAGTGCAAGCACAATTACATGCCGTGATAAGTAATTCTGCAATGGCTTGCTTGCTATTTAGCCATCATCCTAATATCTGACCATTTTGCCAGGGTCAAGGATTCTACATTGAATTAATTTTTATGGGTAAAAATATTATGTTTTACTTTTACTTCATATAGATGAATTAATTTCAAACATGCCATTAGCTGTTACTATTACATATTTTCTACATTAATACAATGAGACCTGAATTACAATGAGAAATAAAAATAAAGCCAACAGTAAAATTAAAATGATTATCACAATCAACTCGTTTTACATTTTAAACAATAAAACTATTCTTGGCTAGTCATTTTAAGTCTAATTCTCAGTGTGATTTTAATTTTTCAAATTTATTTTTAATACTGTTAACAATAATATATAAAATATAGTGAGGCCTAGTCACTTATTTATAGGTGATTCACATTAAATAGAAAGGCTAATTTTTGCTAAGAAGTAATCATTAAGTTTAATTTTCCAAAATATGAATTATTTTACAAAGAAGTAATCACTGAGACTAATTTTTCAGATTAAAATACCATAATAATGTGACATATGTTATAAAGGAAACTCTGATGTACTTTAAGTAGGTTATAAGCTTTTCACTTTTCTGTTAGGAATGATTTCTGAATCTACCAGCACTTTTTAATAGTTACCCTAAGCCTGATAGCATGAATTTCAAGATAGTCTCCAAAGCTGATAATACAAACTTATATAGAAAATGATGTAGAAAATGATGAGGGATCTGCATCTTCAAACACAGAAGGCACCATGGCCTTTTACCCTTCCAATCTAGTACTTTGATACTTTCTTCACAAACCAGTTTCATTGATTCAGTTGAAACCCAAGAAATGAGATTTTTTTTTTTTGTTGAACCAATTATTTGGTCAATGTAAGCATGACCAGTAAGTTATATTTCTATAAACATACATACCGTGGATAAGACTAGAAGTATTTTTGAATCTGTGACAAAAATTAGACCAAATATTATGGAGAAGTACTGTCTTAAGACTCTTCATTAATGATATTGAAAGCATTTTGACCAACCATTGGTAGTTCATAAGATATGAAGTAATCTATTTAGAATGTTAGCAATAAAGTGAGTAAAATGTTAAATTGAAACTAAAAATATAATGTGCAATTTATTTCACATTGCTATTAGAACCTCTGGAACTATAGAGGAAGGGTGATGAAAATATAAGGCAAAAAGTCAGTGTTTATTTCTGTCATTAACTTTTAAATATTTATTTATTTATTTTGTGTGTATGAGTGTATTACCTGCATGTATGTAAGTTGTAAGTGCCGCTGTGTTGCGCAATGCCCCTGGAGGTAGAAAGTAGACATCAGATCCCTGGAGCTGGTGTTACAAAAGGTTGTTAGCCACCATGTGGGTGCTGAGAATCCAACCCCAGTTCTCTGCAAGATAAGTTAGTGCTCTTAACTGGTGAACCATCTGTCCAGCCCCTTTGTCATTAATTTTGATGACCTTTCTAAGTCAATGAACTTTTTGCTTTGGTCATCATAGAAAACCTTACTTTGTCAGGTAACAACCCAATTGTCCTAACACAAGTGTACAGCCTAGAGACCAACAGGTTCCTTGTTTCCTGCCTGCTCACTGGGTTTTGTGCACCTTGTTTCCTTATGTTATTTTTCTGTGATTTAATCTTTTTCTTTGCTTTTCAATGGCAGCCCGAAACATTTGGCTTGCAATCGGCAGGGGGGTGTGTGCCCTGCAACTGCAATTCGTTCGGATCAAAATCATTTGACTGTGAAGAGAATGGGCAGTGCTGGTGCCAGCCTGGAGTCACAGGAAAGAAATGTGACCACTGCGCCCATGGCTACTTTAACTTCCAAGAAGGAGGCTGCACAGGTCTGTAAGGGAGGCTGAACTTGTACATGTTCATTCTTGGATTTTATTATCCTGGCTTCTGTAAGGGTGTGTTGTATTAAAGGAAATTCATGTCGACAGAAAATGCATGATACCGAATATTTAAAATAATAAACATGTTAATTTTTAATAGTTAACAAATGGAATGCATCACAGCCTATAACCCTGCCCTACATATAACTGTGCTTGCAAGTATTGAAGAACGGTCCATCAGAAGACCCCAATCCTGATGTGTCCTGCTGCCTGTGTCCTCCATTGTGGGGACTTCTACACTTTGAAAGTCAACTGTTAAAGTTCTCTGGTATCAATGTAATCTTAGCGTAAACTCTGCTTTCACGCAAAGACATTTTTAACTTTTCTACTGAAAAACTGATACAAGGATTAAGGAAGTTAGTATTTTCTTTGGTACAAAAAATATGTTTGTACCTACTTTTAGCTGCCTTAACAACTATGATGTTTTGGCAGAGAAATAAATTGGATCTTGATGTTTGGTTCATGGGAAAATACAGAGAGGGATTTCTGACTTGATTTCTTGAGGTGGTATTCTATGTCCAGCCAGAGCTTTCACATAAATCATGAAGAAAGCAAAACACTAGTTATAATCCAGGTGAAGTTGAAGATTGAATATTACCCTTGATTTACATACCTCTAGTTTAAAACTGATGCTATTCCAACAATCACAAGGTAAAAATTCACCTTTGTTCACTAAGTTCACGGACCTGGCTGCTGCTTCTGTGCTATACTTTCAGCACTATGCTAAGATTTTTGAAATATTATCATTCACAGCTGTATCAAATTTATGTGAGAATCAGTAAGAATAATATTTTTAAGTATTTAAATTACCAGTATCTTTCAGAGATTCTCCAGAATTTTCAATAGATGTTTTTATTATAAAATAAGAAAGTTTAAGTTATTTGGAATGTGATCACTAGAGATCTGCTATGGATTTGTACGCAGTCTCTAGGCTAACATCTGTATGCACTAAAAAATTATAAAGAAGAGCTTAAAATATTCTGTTCTTTAAGTATAATTCTCAATAACATTTTAACTTTACATGAATTTATGTGGGGTATTATGCATTCAAAAAGACCTGCTAGCAGAAGTTATTAGTGAAATCAAGAATGTTATTTAAAATTATGAAATGGTGAAAATACACCAAAAATATAAACCTAATAGCATTCTAAACTAAAGAAACAGAAGTGAGAAAAGTAGATCAGGAAGGGTGAGATCGTAGTTGTATATAAATTAATTTTCTTGTGTGTGTGACTAAATGCCTGAGAGAAGCAACTTAAGGAAGGGTTTGTGTTAGCTCAGCATCTGAGGATATGGTCCATCATGGCAGGAATGGGAGGTAGATGGTTACTTTGGGTCTTCAGTCAAGGACTGGGGAACGAATGCTGATGCTTGGCTTGTTTTCTCCTTTCCCTTTTTATTCAGTCTGAGACACTAGACCACGGGATGCTGCTGCCTGCATTCAGGATGGGTCTTCCTCCTCAGTTAAACCTCTCTAGAAACACTCTCACAGACATGCCCAGAGGCATGTCTCCAAGGTCATTCCAAATCCCATCATAAACTGAGAGTACACCTCCCACCAAACCACCTAGATTTTCCTAGTGGCTTTATCAGTAACTAATTTTATGACCTTGACTGTGTGAGTTGACCTTGCTTTCCCTCAGCAAAATTCATCTATTAAGTTAGGATAATAATAGCATCTGTGGCACAGAGATTCATAGGAATTTGTTGAGTAAATGGCTTTAGAATGATGACTGACCATCAGTGTTACATGTTTCTTGCCATTTTCCTTATTCACATTTTGATGGTTGTATACATTGTGCTTTGGCACAGAAACCCAGTCTTTGTTCAGGTTTTCTGGCTCTGTGTTATGATTACACTGAGGTTCTACTTAGAGCATTTCTATTTGCAAGTAGTGATTCACACTGTTCCAAAATACTCCATAGCACATAAATTTAAACATAATGCTATTTTTCTTCTTAACGAATGCTGCATATGAAATAAATCCATTGCTTTAAAATTAACAACAATAATAACAATAACAAAACAATGACCATAGACATTTATTTAGTGTTTACTCTATGTCAAGTATTGTGCTAAGCAGTTTTCACAGCTTGTGTGAAGTGCTCTGAGCAAGGATAATTGTGACCCCTTAAAAAATGAACTTAATCAAATACCTAAATGGACTCAATTAAAATAATTTAATCATCATTTAATCAATTAAAAGCTTTTTTGCAACAGTTATCTTGCATTTAAATTCAAGTATTTGGTATTTCTTTTCTTAGAGTCATGACTTTTAAATTAAATGCTGCACTTAAATATCTTTTAGCAGTTGGATCAGTAGATAGTAAGTGGGATGCACTACTAGTTGGGCACGGTGCTGACGATCTTCTTAAACCTATTTTTACATCCTTTGAGAAAGTGTAATAGGAAATACACACCTCCATCTATCATTCATAGTGAGGAAAAGGAAAAAAAAGCATTGAAAATCAAGCACTAAATCAGGCAGTGAAGAAAATTTGAAATATTTCTATACTGACAGTTTCAATATGCAACTATTTTTAAATATTTGCATAACTTGGGTATACTTTTTGTGATTTATGACTATACACAATGAACTGAATTTAACAAACCTGTTTATTGGGTTTTATTGAAAATCAGAGTATTATAATGAAATAAAAATTAATATTTACAGCAAAGAGAAAATATTCACAAATTTTAAATTCACAAACAAAAATTTTGAATTTCATAGTATCTGGGCCTAATATATTCTAGTTAAAAGGAAATTTGATAGCACAATTTCTTTCCTTAAAATTAACAGGAAAACTAAAAATATTTAACTTTTGAAATTATGAAATGAAACACAGCACATATGATGGAACAAATTCTCTGTGAAATAGACTGTACTAAGTACAAATGAGTCAGATAGGTTTATTTTCAAAGCTCCAAACAGGTATAGAAAATGGAAAAACAACACAAATCACACATTGAAAACTCCACATTTTGTATCAAGTTCCAACCTGTCTCTGCCTCCTTATCTTTCCCTGTGAAGCTTGTGACTGTTCCCATCTGGGTGATAATTGTGACCCAAAAACTGGCCAATGCATTTGCCCTCCCAATACCATTGGAGAGAAATGTTCTGAGTGTGTACCCAACACCTGGGGCCACAGCATCGTCACTGGCTGTAAGGTGAGTGGACTGCTTTTTTTCATCTAGTCATCTTCTTCTAATGTTCGCATTTGGTAGAGGTCTACAGTTTCACATTTCAGCCCTGAATTATATCACAAAATTACAGAGAGTTATCAAAGAGTATTTTAATGTTTTGTTTTTTTAAAAAAAATTATGTATGTGAGTGTTTTGCCAGCATGTATGTAAGTGCATCTGTGCATGCTTACTTGGTAAAACTGGCAAAGAAAAAATATTTGTAAACAACCTAGTCATCCAGATTTTGAAGTGTCTTTCTATTTCTGATGCTCAGTAAGGATGAGCTACTTGGGGTCATCTCTTGAAATCTATGTTCAAGGGCTGGAGAGATGACTCAGTTGTTAAGAGGACTAGCTGCTCTTACAGAGGACCTGAGTTCAATTTCCAGCATCCACATGGCAACTAACAACCATCCATAACTCCAGTTCCAGAGTAATCTGACACCCTCTTCTGACCCCTGTGAGCATTGCATGACATGAATCATTGCATATATGTAGGCAATACACTCATACACAGAAAATAAAAATAATAAATAAAATATTTTTTTAAATCTATGTTCACTTTTGGTAACTGATGAGCACTGAGAGGGGCATAGTCAGTCTCTTTGAAGGATGTAACTATTGATAGGTTAACCAGACTCCAGTGGATGCACATAAACTAAAGGACATTTGGGGACACAAATTATACTCTGTATGCCATATATTGAGAGTTCATTAAATTGGGCAGGATAGTAGGGGTCAACATGGACAGAGGACTTTTAAAAATCTATGTTCACATTTGTAATATATTAAATAATTATAATTCATATGATTAAGTTTAAAATAACTTTCCATGTTTTTAAAGCTTATTTATTTAAAGTGTGTGAGTGTATGTGTATGTATGCATATGAGTGCACATGTGGAGGGCATACATGTCATGGTGGCAGGATGGAGGTGAGAAGACAACTCTTGGGAGTCAGTTCTCTCCTGTCACCTGGTAGTGATCACCAGGAATCAAACTTGCATCATCAGGCCTGCACACGACCACCACAGTCTACTCATTGACTCATTGCGCTGACCCTAAAATACCTTACTTCAGCCTTATGACTGCATAGCCATGAAGAGATTAAGAAATACTTAACTATGAAGGCTTAGGAGTAGCTCAGTCAGTACAGTGCTTGCCTCACAAGCTGGAGAACATGAATTTTATTCCCACAACCCAAGTGAATAGCCTAATTAGTGAGCCACAGGCCCCAGTGAAAGATCCTTTCTTAAAAAACAGGGTGGATGGCTCTTGAGGAGAGGTTAACCTCTGGTCTCCACATACACCTATAGACCGAAGCATGTGCCCAATCACACACCTTCACATTCAAAGAAAAAATTTAACCATAAAGACACCAAAAATAAGTTCTGATTATTTTAACATTAGAATTCTAAGATCTGATTATTACTATTATAATTATATTATTATTATTATTGTTATTATTATTATTATTATTATTTTGTCTTTTTGAAGCAGGGTCTCCCTGCAGCCCCAGCTGTCCTGGAACTCACTATGTAGACCAGGCTGGCCTTGAACTCACAGAGATCCACCTGCTTCTGCCTCCCGAGTGCTGGGACTACAGGCGTGCACCACCATGCCCGGCTAAGTTCTGATTATTTTAACATTAGAGTCTGGGAAGATTTTTTTCACCAAATATTTGGGCAAGAAGAGACATTGTGTGTGTGTGTGTGTGTGTGTGTGTGTGTGTGTGTGTGTGTGTGTGCCACTTGGGAGAAATAACAGTCATGAGTAGGAACAGGAGTAGCAAGGTCCCTGGTAGCAGTGGTTATGAAAAGTAAACGGAGTGATGGAGTGGGAGGCAGATCTGGTCTGCATAGAAGTTTTCTGTAGCGCTGCCTGCTGTAGATCTGAGAGTTGAATAAGGCAGTTCTTAAGAGTAAGACTGCAGAGGAAGTATCCATTCTCTGTGGTGGCAACGACACAAAGAGAGATGGTACTCACTTGGGTAGCCAATGAGACCCAACTTGGGAGGCAGAATCTGCAGTTCATTTAAATATGGAAAACAGAATATAAAGATTTGTTAGGGACAAAAGATAGCAACGATGGAGAAAAGTTATTGTAGGTACAAGAGAGCCACTACTGCCTCCAGGCTGAGAGAACAATGAAGGACCTAAGGCATGACTGATATTCCGATGTCTTAAAGGAAGGTGTAGCTGCCACAGGAATGTACAGCCTGCTGGTAGCCAAAATGTGACGAGTTTGTGGACAAGTGCTCCTCTGTAGAACCTGCCTGCCATCTTGGAGCATATGGACACCCAGGAGCTACTGAGAAGAAATGTCCTGTTCAGAATTGTATGATGGAGACTAAAGCTGTTCAGAAAGGGGACTGTAGGGAGATCGCAGCCTAAAGGTCCAGCTGGGATTGGATCTGAGTCTCTGGCTCTTGTGCTTAATAATAAGATACTAATGGTGTGATGACGAACCAGAACCCACAATGGAAGCATCCTGTACCCACCAATTTGGCTTTATTGAGCCCTTTCAGAATCCTCTTTGACTAAACTTAACATTCTGCAATCAGACCATAGAGAAATATCTCCATATTGTAGAGAGTATTCCACAGTATCACAAATCAGGGTGGAGTGGAAGCTCAGCGACTGTAGTTTTTTAACTGGTAGCTAGACTCTAAAAATGACTGATGCCGAGAGTCTAAAAGACATGATGGAATGCCACTTGACATTTTTATTAAATTTCAAGGAACTATGAATTCTACAAATCAAGAGTGGAAACCCATAAAAATAGACAAAAAAAGACAACTCATGAGGAAAAATTGGAAATAAGTGAGATGAAATAAACTATTTAAGAAACAATGGTCTAGTTAAAGTATGTGCTGTTGGCAAAGTCTTAACAGAATTTTAACTCTGTGCAATAGGAACTTTTCTATGGAGAACAAGTCTGAGGCATAAATACAACAAGAAAGATAAAGCAATGAGGTTAAAGAACACATGCAGCTATTAGAGGATTAGTATGCAGCAACTTTTAAGAATTATAGCTGATCATGAAGAATAAAACAACCAGATATACAAATCAAAGTCAAATATGAAGAAATGGATTCTGATCTGAATTTTATATAAAGTTATATTCTCAAAGTAAAAGAACTCATAATATTCCAGTGAATAAATGATAAAAGAGTTTCAAATCTCTTAAAATTCTAGCATAGAATTATATTAGCTAGGTAAACAAAGCATCACTTGTATAGTCAAAGTAAGGGATATAGTTAGGAGTGAAGCATCTCAGATCAGTTTTCTGTAAAACTAAATGTCAACCCAGTTTACTGTGCATCACTCCTCTTCCAAGCCTTCTCTGCATTGTTGTGTTCAGATGTTACCCCTTGTGGGTTATTGCATTCTCCCAATGCTTACTCCTATAACTGCATAGTTATAGCTCTCCCTTTAGCTATGTATTTAATAATCTTCCTCCACTAGACTTCAAGCATGTCTCCATGCAACTTAAATGCTACAATAAAAAATTATGAGAAAATAAGCTTTCTTGAAGTTTAATACATGAGACAAAATGCACTTAAAGAAAACCATACCTAACTCCTCTCCATCATGAAAAATCAAACAATGTGGGTGGATGAGATGGTTCAGTGTGTAAAGGTCCTGCTCCCAAGGCTAATGGCCTGAGTTCAATAGTTCAATCCCCAGGCCCCACAAGGTAGAAAGAGAGAACCAACTCTTGCAAGCTGTTCTCTGCTGTCCATATGTGTACCTTAGGGCACACACACACACACATACATACACACACACACACACTCATACAAATGTACACAATTAATAATAAGTAAATAAATAAATAGTTTAGAAAACAGGTGTGGTAGCATATGCTTTTAATTCTAGTACTCAGGAGGCAGAGGCAGGTAGATTTATGTAAGTTTGAAGTCAGCCTGGTCTACATAGAGAAATCCAGGCCAGTTGGACCAACATAGGGAAACCTTGTCTCAAAATACAATAATTATAATAATAATTTAGAAAAACAAAACAAAAACTACCTTTTTCTTATCATATCATTTGTGATTCTGGATCACCATATATTTTCCTACATGCTAGAAGCTTTCTAATGTTTATGCTCACTAATGTGTCCCAAAGGACTAAATACCAACAGTATAAAGCATATTATAGATACATGATTCATATGTGTTTAGTGGGAACTTAGAAGCATTGGGATTAAAATTTTAAGGTGTTTCCCATGCAATTGTGTGAACAGTTGCTGTTTATCTCTCATTCACAGGTTTGTAACTGCAGTTCAGTGGGGTCCTTGGATTTCCAGTGCAATGTAAATACAGGCCAGTGCAACTGCCACCCAAAATTTTCTGGGGCTCAATGCACAGAATGCAGTCGAGGTCACTGGAACTACCCTCACTGCAGTCTCTGTGAGTGTTTCCTGCCTGGGACAGATGCCACAACCTGTGATCCAGAGACTAAAAAATGTTCCTGCAGTGATCAGACTGGGCAGTGTACCTGTAAGGTATGGGCTACTGAGGTGCAGCAAGGAATTCCCTTGCTCTGGATTCTGTTGCTGTTTTTCCTTCATTCACTGTTCATTATTCGTGATTCATTAAGGAGCACAAACAAAAGTCCAATGCCAGGCACAGAGATTTCATTGATACATTGTGACTGGCAAACACAGAGATAAGCTCTGCTTTTTCAAGAACCTATTTTGAATTCAAACCCAACACCCAACCTTGTTTCTAGTAAAAAGAGATGATATCATTTCCACAGTGCAGTGAAATTGTTTTTCTTTTATATACCTTTCCCTTAAACAAGAATAATCTGTAGATTGGGTCAGGGAAGGCTTTTATTTAAAGTCTTTGCTGCCAGAACAAAAAATAAAACAAAACAAAACAAAAAAACAGCTAATAACCAAGGTCATAATAAACCATTCCTCCTAAAGTTAATCTGAAATCACTCTACACTGGAAATATATTTACTCCTGTGGAGGTTCAGTAAAATTCCATCATGTATAAACACTGACATTACAAACAGTGACTATGTGAAAATTTCAGCCCTCATTAATACTGTTAAATGATGTAGAAAAACAGCCAATTAAAAAGGATAAGAAGGATTTTTGCTCCTCACATATTCCTGGGAAAAAAAATCAGTCCCAGGATAAATGTTGTTAAAACTGTGTCATAGATAGCCTTTCGAGATAAAGTCTAAGCAAAGAAAGCCAGGCCAACAGGATGATGAACTCTGGGGAGCACTGGTTAATATCATCCTGGGAATTTAGAGAAATGACAGCCTCTGCCATCAAGGACCCTCGTCTAAGCAGGGTACAATGCAGCATAGCTCTGTATTATAAGTATAAGTATGGTTATACACTATATATATAAGTATATTGTAAGTATGATTATTCTTCATGATATATGTATGAAATTATATATATATATACGTACATACGTATATAATAGCAATCATACAGTGCAGTTTTAGTCTCCTCCTTGTTTTTCACAATTTGGCATAGCACCACTGTCTAGTCATTGATTTAATTTACTTTTGAAATTCTTTTTTTTAATTTTATTTATTTTTTTATTTTATATGTATGTGTGAATTGCCTGCATGTAGGTAAGTGTACCTGTGTCGTGCAATGCTCACAGAGCTCAGAAGAGGCTGTCTGATCCCCTGGGACTGGAGTTACAGACAGTTGTTACCTGCCATGTGGGTGCTGGGATACAAACCTGGATCCTCCGCAAGTGCAGCCAGTGCTCTTTAACTACTGAACGATCTCTCCAGACCTGGCTTAGTTCTTTTTTAAAAAATACTACAGAAACAGCCAAAATTTTAATTTGCATGTCTCCCTAATCCCATTCTTCACTCTTCTTTCCCAAAGGAACCCAGGTCTTCTGCAAGAACAACCAGTGCTCTTAACTGCTGAGCCATCTCTCCAGCCCAACTTTTGAAATTCTTATTGCTAACCAGAGAGAGTTGTAGGAAATGTGCTGCTTAGATTTCAAAACACAATACGCAATGTCCTTCATAATAGATGCATTAATAAATTAAGCAACTTTTTAAAACCTATAAAATCCTAACAGTATCATAAACTACAAATGCCATTTGATGTAGGAGTCTCAGACTCTGTATTCTTTTGTATTGCTTCACTAGAAACATGTTACTGCTATTTGTCCTTAGGTTGATTGCTCCCATCATGTAATGAACTTTGAGAGACATTCTTCTTTCTTCAGGTGAATGTGGAAGGCGTCCGTTGTGACAGGTGCCGCCCTGGTAAATTTGGATTTGATGCCAAGAATCCACTTGGTTGCAGCAGCTGCTATTGCTTTAGGGTTACCAGTCAGTGTGCTGAAGCGAAAGGGCTGATCCGTACGTGGGTGAGTAAGAAGCTGCTGAGCCGTGTAATGGTATAATGTTCATTCCTGCTGGTATCTTTTAGTCAGGCCCTGAGGAGTAGTAGGAAATGGCAAAACATTTAAGCAACCTTGTCCCCTGTGCACATTATAAAATGGTAAAGGCACTATGTGCCATTAGGCAGTTGGCACAGATGCCTTTTTAAAAAACCTTCCTAAAAGATTGTTCCCTTATTGTTGATATGGAAAGAGATATGTTGCAAGGGAAACATGGTGCTCTGGCATGGGAAGAAGCTGTGTTTTGAGGAGTGAAGCCCTAGAGGATGACTGCTGACATCTACTAAGCAGCCATAAAAGCCAGAGCGAGCATTTGTTCAGCCGGTCATAAGAAATCGTCCATTTGGGGCTGGGAATGTGCTTGCTTAGATTTTAATTTTCCTTTAACTCTTCTGGATTTAATTTCTACTTCTATTAGTGTAAAATATTTCAATTTTCAGAAATTATAATTTTTTCATTATGTGAACTAGTTCAAAGGATTTATGCCCTACTGACTCTACCTACCACGTCTCAGTGAGAACACCTTGTCAGATTGGAGACAAACATTCATCAGATACGTAGTCATATTTAGCTTTAAAGAGATGCCCAAAAGACTCCTATTCAGCTTCCTGCTGAATTTTGACTCCATACAGGTGACTCTGAGTGATGATCGGACCATCTTGCCCCTGGTCGATGAGGCCCTACAACACACAACTACCAAAGGCATTGCTTTTCAACACCCAGAGATTGTTGCAGACATGGAGAAGGTCAAGCAAGATCTCCATTTGGAACCTTTTTATTGGAAACTCTCAGAGCAATTTGAAGGAAAGAAGGTAAGAATAATTCTGAATTCACAAATGAATAAAGTAAAATGTGGTTTTGGAGTCAGGCCATTTGGAGGTTTACCTAAGTCATCACTCTTTATTCTATCCTGTCAGTTGACAGCCTACGGAGGCAAACTCAAGTACACAATCTATTTTGAGGCTCGGGAAGAGACCAGCTTCACAACATACAAGCCTCAAGTTATCATTCGAGGTGGGACTCCTACTCATGCTAGACTTATCACCAGACATGTGGCAGCACCTCTCATTGGCCAGTTGACAAGGCATGAAATTGAAATGACAGAGGTAAAGTCAGTAGTTGTTTGGGGCAAAGATACCAGTGGTTTTACATTCAATTTTATCAGACTGGTTTTCTTTTCTCCTTGTTAACAGAAAGAATGGAAATATTATGGTGATGATCCTCGAGTCAGTAGAACTGTAACCCGTGAAGACTTCTTGGATGTACTATATGACATTCATTATATTCTCATCAAAGCTACTTATGGAAACGTCATGAGACAAAGCCGGTAAAGTTGATACAAAATACTTAAGTTAAGGTCTTGTTCTAGGGTCTTTTAGGGAAGGTCAGAAAGGCCTCAGACAAGAAAGTTTTAAAAGAGTTGATTTGGTACCCTTGTGATAGAACATAAGCCAGGGGGTCTACTAATCAATCACCTGACAGAAAATACCATAATTTACTAAAAAAGTTAAATAGCACAGGAAACTAAGGAAAAGGGTGAAATATACTTACTTATATTAGTCATGTTAAGTTTAAGATGTCCATAACAATTCAAGAAGGCACATATTGTAGGTCATATATAATTAACTCAAATGCTGTGAATGTGAAAAGATTACTGAGAAAATGACCTTGAAACATCAGGGGAAGGAGGCAGGCCCAAGGCAGTGTTATCTCTCCCAACCATAAACATTCTCATCTGGCCATCACAGTGTACCATATATTATGTTCGTTTACTATGGCCATCATGATGTGAAACAGTTGAAGACAGAAACAAAACCAGAAAATCAGCAAAAATGCAGATGACATCAAGGAAGCCAAATTGGAAACACTTCAGGGGAGCACTCAGTGCTTTCATATGACTCAAAAAGGACAATTAAAATTTGGATCACTGAGACTGACACTTAGTGCCACACTGGTGCCATTCACAGTGTCAGTTTCGGTGTCTTCCTGGGTCAGAAATAATTTCAAAGTTTTAAAGAATGAACGGGGCACAAAGAAACTGATATTGAAAGTATGCACCACTGTTTTCTGTAACTCTATAAAAGAATAAAATGATGTTGTGTCCAAAGTTGAGGGGTGTTCGCATAATTTCTAAAAGAAGTAAGCATGCTAATTGACTATGGGAAAGAGATTGATAGCAAGAAAAAAATCATAAGAATATAGAACAGGGTCAAGTGTGGTGGCACATCCTTTTAATCCTAGCGCATGTACTTGGGAGGCAGAGTCAGATGGATCTCTGTGAGACAGAGGTCAGCCCAGTCTACACAGTGAGTTTCAGTTGGGACTACAGGAAGACCCTGTCTCAATAAAAAGTATATAGAATGAAAGAAATAAAGAAGTCTCCAGGAGACATAGATCTGTTTCTTTAGTAGAGGAGTCACTTATCCAATGAGATGAAATGAGGACTTAAACAGATGAAGCTGAGTCTAATACTGTAGACATAGAATGTTGAGTTGAATTCATTCACTGGTCTCAATTTCTATTGTATGTATTTTTCTCTTGTGTTCAGGAAAACCATAGAATCAATATATGTTTGTAAAATAGTCTTATGACAAATCAATAGACCAGGCTAGGGAAAAAGAAAAATATAAAACTTGTCATGGTCAAATTAATGAATCTAAAATTTTCTATATTTCAAATGTTTCTGCTGTGCTAAGCATACTATGTAACAAAGAACTTTCTTAGTTCAAACAGAAGATCCATATTGCTTTTTGATTGATGAAGGGACTTGCAGAAGAGTAAATCAAGAGCCAAAATTCACTTTCTCATTTTTATTCCTTTGGTTTCTTTGTCATAGTCCTCATCCACAGGGATGAGTTTGTTTTATATAAAAATAAAACGATATACAGAAAATGCTGCTACCTGTATTTTTAATTATTTTAGAATAGCAAAGGTACATCATGTATAGAAGCAAAGCAGGTTTCCTTTTCACAGATAGGCAAATAGATTATTTTCAAATTCTTCCATGCTGCAGGAAGAGTTGGGGAGTTCATAGAGCGTTTTGTTAGTGTAACTGACAGAAACAGCATTGGCATTCATTTTCCATTACACATTGCTTTTCCTAAGCCCCGTTACAAGTTGGTTGTCAGCTAGCCAAGGCAAGAAATATGGCAGATCACTAGCACTTCGTTATGTAAGACAGTGGAATCATGACAAAAGGTATAAAGCTTTCAAATAGTCAGACATAACCACTCATCTTTACTGCCGCACAAACCTTAACAGTTTCACAGGCAGAGTTTAAGAGTTGTATATGTGGTCTCTGGTTTAGTGTTTATATATTTTCATCAATGTTGACGTTTTCATTTTTCTTGGCTTTTATCTGAACTTTGAAGAAAGTAACTCCTGGGTTTCAGTTTTCTTAACTGGAAACCACATCCTCACACAAGCAAAGCCACTGTACTTCCATCCACCCACCTATCCACCCTTTCACCTGCCTGGGACCCCCTCATCACCTGAGACTACTCATGGCAGAACTATCCTGTTGCTACCATTCAAGCTTCACTTGATTCTAAATACCCTTCTCCCCTACCCATACATGTGCAAGATACAGAAGGCAAGATGATGCTTGTAGCTTCTGTGGTTATAGAGCACCGTAGAGGTGCACTGGACAGATTGCTGCTCAACAAACACCAACTTTCTTTCCCTCTTGATCCCTTAGAGTCCAGGGGGAGACTGAGTGGAGACTCTTTTATCAGAGGGGAGTGGCTTGTTTACATCTCCCTGCTACTATTCTCCTCTAAGGAGGGGAGAGCAAAATCTTCATTTTAGCTGAAAATTGGTTTCATAGTCTCCCAAGTACAAATTACAGTGCTAGTGAAACTAGGATGTGCATTCATAATTCAGTAAAACTTACCTATGCTTGTTGTAAAGTTTATGACTCAACCTCCTTAAGCTATTGAAGGTGCCTTTTATTGAGGCAAAACTATTCGGTGTCTCATTTAAAAGTTTATTTGCAGAACATTTTCATGTTGCAGTTAGTCAGTCATGACATAGCCTGAGTTTATGGACTGCATATATATTTTAATGCATAATTTCAAATTAATGAAAAAGGTATCCATGATTTCACTGGGAATATATTTTTTTCAGTCGTAAGGACTTTGTTCACCAATAGGAAGGATGAATTAAGTTACTTGAAAGATTTATTTAACAAAGCTAATAAAATATTAATTTGAAAGGCTCTTTATCCTCTGAAAGATCATGATTAGATCACTCTCCATCACTGTTTTCTAGGAGGATTTCCAAAGTTCTTGAAGGACATTGAGGGGCTCTAGTGGAAGAAAGTAGTAAATTAAAAGCAATTTCACCAGTGACTACAGGAGATAGTCTAACAGGGAAAATGACCTTGGGTTGTGTGTTTAAAAGAATTTAAACGTATAACTAATTGGTCCCGTCTACATGAAGCCACTCAAAATTTTTAAAGTGGGGGGAAAATTGTAATAACTTCTCAACAGGATAACAAATATCCAATTTACTAAACTCCTTAAGATTTATGTGGATATTTTACTGATATGTATTCTTAGTTTTTGAGGAAACAGAAATCTAGTAATAAGATGCAGCACATAAGTCTGAGAATTTTAGCAGCTTCCAAACAATGCAATCATTAGTTGATTGATTCCACAATGCATACATGATATGATAACATAATATCATAATATCATGATACATTGATAAATATGTCATTTTTATTTGACAATTAAAAACAACCAAACAATAGAATTTGGTTGTAAGAGAAGATCCTTCTTTGAGGGCTGGATATTTGCTGAGAGGCTGTATCTGACTGGGTGATCATCAACTTTGTGCTTATGCTTTCCAGGATTTCCGAAATCTCCATGGAAGTTGCTGAACCAGGACATGTCACAGTAGCAACTCCACCTGCAAAGTTGATAGAAAAATGTGACTGCCCCCCAGGTTACTCTGGCTTGTCCTGTGAGGTAAGCTAGCCGTTAACCTGCTTAAGTTCAACTCCCTTCAAGAACCAAATGGAAGAGTCCCGGGAGTCACCTTTATGGTGACTTCTGGGCATACTCTTGACCTATTTTATTTATCTTTCACACACAGTATGAGACACAGTAGCAATGAGATGATGCTATTATTATCTTGTAATATGAGTCACAACTGTAAGGAAATATCTGATAAAAATTAGAAGATTTATAAAGATGTGGCACAGTCACAAATAGTAATGTTTTCAAAATGCTGGTCTATTATGACATCTATTTTCTTGGCACCATTTCCTAAAGTTAAGGCATTTAAACTGCAGTGATTATGAGATATGATTATATCAGGCTTTGAAAGTGTTTTTATATAGAACAGACAAAATTTGTGTGCCAGACAACAGGCTGTTCCATTCAATGCCATCTTCTGAAAGGACAAAAATCTGTTCCAACAGTGCTACTATCATTCAGTCATCACGTTTTTAAATTTGTTTCTCTTATTCATTGATGTGGTATTCCATTCAAAACTGGAAAATTATCTAGCTCCTCACCTTCTGGTACTTTAATAAATTTATACAAATATAAATTAGTAACAGGAATACTACAATATTGGGAAGATGGACTAGATAAGGAACGGGGTTAGATCTGAACCTCAATTTCACCATGTACAGGGGCCAGGATTTTGCACAGTTTTCTAAACCTCCTTAAGCTGAACATGGTAAGCAATAAAATCCCTAGGTAACTAAATGCCACTACGTCTGGCCTGCTACCACATTTGGCCTTCTCCTGCAAAGTCTTAGTTTAATGCTTGGCATGAAGAGTCATAGGGACCTGCTGCATCCCAGGCTCTTTTTCATAAGTCACACTCATTAGTGCCCATGACGTAGTCGTCAGATATTATTAATATCTGTTCCTCCTACAGCCTAAGACTCTTATGAAGACTGTATGAACTATGAACCTTAAACACTCATCAGAGCACCTGGTTGTAGTCAATGCTTCTTGTTAGAGTAGATACTATTATGAATGTACTAACTAGTTATGTATTTATGTACTGATTTGTTTCTAACACCTTTTCTGTTCATTTTGTAAATGGAATCTTAGAGGTTTATTAAGAATGGCACATGAGGGTTGGAGAGATGGCTCTGTAATTAAGAGCCTTAGTTCAGTTCCCAGCACCTACATGATGGCTAACAACCATTCATAACTCCAGTTCCAGAGAATGTGATGCCCTCTTCTGGACTCCTTAGGCATTTCATGAAACAGGTGCACTTACATACATGTAGGCAAAACACTCATACATGTAAGATATATACATTTTTTTAAATTTTAAAGAATTTTTGAAAAAAAAAGAATGGCACATAAGGATGATGATAGTTTCAGATCAAAACTGAAGTATACCTTAAAAATATTAAATGTGTACCTGTGAGATGGCTCAACAGGTAAAAGTGATTGTCACTAAGCTGGACAATGGAGTTAATTTATAATCAAACTCATGATGGAAGGAGAGAACCAACTGCCTCAAGTTGTCCTCTGTCCTCCATGCTCATTGTAGTGTGCACATGCTCACCCACATATACACAAAATGAATAAATGTGTGCATAAATACATACATACATACATACATATATACATACATACATATAATAAAATACTGACTATGTTTCCTTAGAGTGGAATATCATATGAAAAGAAAAAGAAATGGATTTGGGACTCCTCCCTTGCTCCATCATTTAAGGGACATACTCTTCCTTGTCACTGATCCTCAGATTTCTCCGTATAGAATCATCATAAGGATTAGTATAAATGAAAACATATTGGAGAAAGCCCCATCATAAACTCAGGTGCCATTCACCTTAGTTACCATTGTATGGACTCTACACTGTTTATAGAACAGATCTGTGCCTGTTCAAATATCTTGAAACAATCTCTTATCCATTTCAGCAGCTGCTCAAAATAAAATATCCATCTTAATACATCCACTTTGATCTAATAAATAACCAAATAATTTATCTTATTATTGAAAACTAGACCCCCCACACACCTATGTGTCCATTTGTACCCACAACATTGAATTTATCTGTATGCCCCTTCCAAATATACATAGTATATGACTGGAAATAAGATAACAAATACACAAAATATGCTACTTTTTAACAAGCACAAAAGATGAGAAAATAGAGGACAGAAAAACCTTGAGACTTTTCTAGACATGAGGTGATACTTTATTTCACTGTACAGTTTGTGTGGCTGAACTGCGGAATAATTGTGTGACCTTGGTCAATTTCCTTAAACCAATATGGGCTTTATTTTCTCCATTTACTTGATATAGTACTATTCACTTATCAACAAAAATATTGGTAGAATATAAAATGACTTTAATACATTCTACCTTCTTTCACAGATTTCATGTTAAATGTTTTGTATTGCTCTCTATAGACTCTTGAATGAGTAAAACAGACTTTTGCGCTAATATTTTTTCATTGCCATTATCGGAAAATATAAGCTAACACAAATAAAACCAAAGAAAGAAATGAAAGAAACTAAGAAAAACTAGATATGCATACATAGAAGTGTGTGTAATTGCAGCTTAGTCTCTAGCTGGTGAGTTCCACTTAAGTTCCTATTTACAGACAATAATTACAGTAAAGTCTTAGTGGAAAGATTAGGAAGATAAAAGCTGATCTCTCCCAATAAGATGCCCGAGGAGTTCTCCACAACCCATTGCCTCTAATCCATTATACATCTTATTTATAATTCATCTTGATTCTGAAGTGTAATTACCCAGGCATAAAATCTAATCGTCAAAGCAGGAGCTAAGGACAGTTTTGAAATAATACACCCCATTCCAACCATATGCTTTGGGTTATGGATACACTAAGTGATTCTTTTGCAACATTATCATCAAGCGTATGGGATTTCACAGACATTTGCATTGGTAAACCATTTGTTTCATGTTTTTACCCAAAATGTGGTTGAATGTGTACAAAATTAAATATTACCACTTACACTATGGCCACTTACAAAGACACTCAACTCTTGCACAATACCTGGGGTGTTTTGGCATTAAAAATTCTTTTCTTGAAATGTCTAAATAGTGTGATTTACAGTTTGAAGTAGAGGCTGGATTTCCTTTATAAGTTAGATAAAGGACACTATTTATGCACTATACTTACTTTTGGAACCATCTGCACTTAATCTACTCTTCAAGTTATGTTAAGATTAGGTGATTGCCTAAATCACCTCAATTCAGCATAGACTACATGCATATATCATTTATTTATTACTTTTTAGCATGAGTGTGAATTTCTGCAATGATATCATAGAAATCAGAAGTTTGCTGGTGATGTCTAGTCCATATTTTGATAGTTCCAGTCTCTCCTTTTTTTTTTTTAACATTTGCTTTTTGTTGTTGTTTGGTCTTTTGTTTGTTGGTTGGTTAGTTTTTAGGGTCTCCCTGTAGTCTCAGCAGGCCAGGAACTCTCTACATAGGCCAGACTGGCCTCAGTCTCACAGAGATTCAGCTTCCTGTGACTCTGGAGTGCTGGGAAGGATTAAAGTCATGCACCCCATGCCCAGCAGTTCTAGTCTCTTAGCCCCACCTTCTGTATTTTATTTTAGTAAGGCTTCTGGCTTACAGTTGAATGGTTGAAGCAGTTGAATCACTCAAAATCTTTCACTTTGGGTAAACCAATTTTTAAGTCTGCAGTGTATTCTTAGTATCAAGTCATGCTAAAATTTCTTGGGGGTGGAGATGTAAGCAACATCTTCCCTCTCCTCCCTTGGTTCCAAGAACAAATCAAAGTACAATTCCTTCAAAAGGCACTGTGAGAAACCAAAAACTTTTTAGGCATACTTACAGAGCAATAAGTGAAGCATTACTTACTTGAGTGTGTGTGCTGTCTTGCTAAGGCCATACAGGAAAGTCTTCACCCCAACGTAGACAATGGTTTCCCCATAGCTGCACAAAATGGTGAGAGAGGCCCTTTCCTAGTTTTCCCCAGCCTATATACACTAACCCCTCTCCCAGCCCACATGCAATTAGGGCCAAATTGCTCATCTTGGATTAGTTGAGGGGTATGGCTAGACTCTCAGGCAAGTGTTCCATGAGAGGTCATGAACAGTCAACAAGCTCAGCTGTGCTGATCTTAGGCAAGCAGAAGCAACTGAACTCAGAAAGATGGCATCTTTCTGTTGGAGGACAGTCCTGTACAACATGTGGAAAAAGACTTGGCCCCTTCCACAAGTACATCTCTCAGGATGTCCTTCATCACTTCGGTCAGGTGCATGTGGGACACACAAAGACTGTCTCCATTCAATGATACATTACTTGACGATGTGGACATACTGTGAAAACCGTGTCAGTGAATTTCATCAGTACACAAACATCATAGTATATATTTACACACAGTAAGATGGCCATGGCATCCATGGGCAATATAATCTTTGAGGCCATGGTTGTGTATGTCATCTGAGGTTGACTGAAACATTGTTCCGTGACACATAATTGTACATACCAATATTAAGGGACAAGGTATGAATAGGTAGCATATGCTGTCATTTTCTTTCCCAACAACGCTTGGAACAATTATGGCTGCCTTTGCTTCTAGTTTATCCTAAGAAATTGTATCTAAAATTTATCTGGGATACAGCGTATTTGTTAATTATGTGTAAAGCACTAAATATGTCATTTAATCCTTGCAATAATCCTATACAAAACAAATCTTAATTTATTGCACGCTTACTGTGTCCTGTACAATTTAAAGTACAGTTCATGCACAACTACACCGTCACTACAGGGTCTGACTCATCGTCTTTGTGTTCTCAGTGGTGAAACTGAGTCCCAGGCAGGTTAGGGAATTTGTCTACAATCATGCACCTAGGCAGTGGCAAAGCTGCAATTTGAATCCAGATAAATTTGTTTCCAAAGATATATATTAACTTACACTCCACTGTCAGATGTACAAGGTGTTTATGACTCCAGTAAGGAAACTGAGGCCTGAGGTACTTAAAATCTGTACACAACCATATGTCATAAGTGCTGGAAGAAGAACTAACTTCATGTTTACCTGATGACAAAATCCTTGCTGAACCCTTCACACATATTTGTTCTCTTTATTGACTCTGGGAAGAAAGAAATTGTATTGGGAAAACTCTGAGGCATGCTGGCTCAGCACTCTTTTGTTTTATTTTCTTCTCTCCATCCTCCCATAGTTTTGTATAAATTTGATTCCAATGTTTTGAAGAGACATCATATTAGAAAGTAAAGATGGAAAGAGAACAGAAGAAAACTGAGTTATGCATAACTTCAGAACATGAGAAGAGAGCTTTTGAAAACTAGGAATTATAAGAGATTGAAACAGACAGACTGAAGTTAGAAAAGATTTGTTTATTCAATGTTTTAAAATTTTTCATTGTGTTCCAGAAAAAAAATTAGAGGAAACTTTAAAAGTAGTTTTTGTTCCAACTTAAGCATTCTTGTTCTCAAGAATTTTGCCCTTTTTGAGTGAGAGAGAAAACATTTGATTTTTTTTAAAAATATCTTCAATTGTTTTTCCAAGTGGGAAGAATAAATACAAAGGATCCAGGGAAAGAGGAAATTAAAAACAAACAAATAGGATACATTGTGTTTCTAAATGGTCTTTTAAGGCTCTAATTCTTACATCGTGAAGCAGATTCTTCTACTTTGTTTAGAAATACCATCAGGACAAAATATTAAACTGTTAGAAAGACATGTTAAAAATTAACTCAATACACCTGCTGATTTGTGGGATAAGAAAAGTGTCTCGAAGACAGTAACTGGCCCACATTTTTCACACAGACTAACCTTTGTAACCACAGCTTCCAGATTCATTAGGTTACTGTACCAAGGAGCCTGGCACGCCCTTTGACAAGGTCACTTTTACAATAGAGGATAAGGAGTGTAATGGTGACCCTTGGCCCTCAACCCTACTTATACCTTCCTAGGAGATTTAACACAAACCTTTGACTCTCTATCAATTCAGTTTTCTTCTCAGGCTGTGGGCCCCCTCTAACTTGCTGTCAGTCCAGGAAAGAGCCACAGCAATAGGAAACAATTTGTCGTGTGTTACAATACCATCACCCTAGTGCACGCCAACGCATTTCATTCCATGACCCTGAACTTTCTGCTTTCCCCAATAAAGTGTGTTGATTATTAACTTTGTTCTTTTAAGACTTGTTTGATTTTTGAGGTGTAAAGAAGAGCTAAAAACTTCCTATTTATTTGTGGAATTTTTAATATATATAGACAATATGCAAACACACTGAGAGGCAGACCTTGAACAAATAAATCAACAAAATACCAATACTTACATGAGATCCATGTAAATAAAATTCCATTTTTTGCAAGTCAACATGCTTACAGATTGCAACAGTCCACACTGTGTAACACATATTTGGAGCATACACGTATGTATGTATGTGCATGTGGTGTGTGGGGGTTGTATGTGTATGTTCTCATGTGTGTAAGCAGATGTGTGTGCGTGTTCTCATGCTTGTAAGTGTGTGTGCATGTGTTTGTGAATACACAAGCACACACAGAGGCTAGAGGTTGACAGAGACAGTCTCCCTTGATCACACTACATCTTTTTTGTGGAGGCAGGATCCTTAGCTGAACCCAGAGCTCATAGCTTTGGCTAACCAACTTGCTCTAGGGATTCTGATTCTACGTCCTGCGCTCTGAGATTACAGGTAGGCTGCCACATCTGCACTGCTCTACATGGGTTATACAGATCCAAACTCTAGTCCTCATAACTGAGCGGTACCAGCACTAGACCCACTGAGCACCTCCCAGCCCAATGTATGCTGGTTCCCAAGCCCCTTTGTACCACTTTTCAATACACTGGAGATTTTTTTCAGTTATGCCTCAGTGACTTTTTCATCTGTAAGTTCTATACTTTCTTCTATAACAGTGATGAAAAAAAACCTGATTCTTTTCAATAACATGATTATATTTTGTTAAAACACGTTTGTGTCTACTGTAAGACAGATGAGATGCAAAGTATTTTGAATACTAGTTTGTTTTCTTTATCAATTTGCTCAAAGTCAGGACATTATTAAAACTCATTAGAATTTCTTATAGGCTGATAAAAGCCAAGAGACTCTTAATTAAGGGTTTAATTGAGGTACCCGTTAAACAAATCAAAATAAACACAGGGAGAGTATTGAGTATTGACTTTATTTTCCTCATACTGAGGGATTTGTATATATATTTCATCCTGGCTACTTAGGCAAGACCAAAAGGATGTGAAAACATTAGGAAGTTCTTAGTAAAACAAGCTTGTTTTACTTAGTCATCACACTCTTTAATCAATGGGAATACGATTTTTAAAAAGAGAATTTTACTTAACCAAAGTGGCAAAACAGTCTCTTTATAATCTTCAGTGTCATCTGAGAACTGACTCCTACCTCTAATCAGAAATCAAATCATGTCTGATGAACTTGAGACAGATGACCCTGGAATACAAGGCAGTCCCCTCCTGTGCTATGACCCTTCATCCAGAAAGTCAAAGATACTTTTGATACATTCACAAAATCAAACCTGAATGAAGATTCAACTCTTGATTTTTGCATATATCAGCTTTGCTTTGAATTTTGATTTTTATTGCAAATGGAAAAATATATATCAGGAAAAGACAAATTTTATGAGAAACTAATAATCCCCAAACACATGGGGATTTCATTATTTAGAGATTTTTCCTTTTATAATCTTTAAGTTATATTGATATAAATAATGCACCTACAGCATTTTACTTTTTTTTGCAGTGGCTAATTCTCCATCAAGCATAGTAGAAGAAGATTTTAGGGTGTCAAGGACATTGGAATTTTCTTGTTAGTTCATATGACAATGTCAGTTAAAAATAAATCTTTCAAGAAAAAGACTCTGGAGCTTTTTCAGGCTAAAAGCTATAGATGTAAATGAAAGCTTTCCTCTGCTAGACTCTGATTGTATGCATAGTGCCTGCTCTGTGAACAGAATAAAGACCCAGCAGAAACATATGTGTGTGTGTGTGTGTGTGTGTGTGTGTGTGTGTATGCTGTCACAATTGGCACTTGTAAGTGAAACATCCTCAATATACATGCACTGGAAACGTCAGTATTGCTGAAGAAAGAGTACTAACTTGTCTGTCCTAATTGTCTTCTTTTTTTTCTAGACATGCTCACCAGGATTTTATCGATTGCGTTCTGAACCAGGCGGCCGTACTTCTGGACCTACGCTAGGCACCTGTGTTCCCTGTCAGTGTAATGGGCACAGCAGCCAGTGTGACCCTGATACCTCTATATGCCAGGTAGGCACCTGCAGGTTTCGTGGACAAGACCCAAGTGCTCTTTCCTTTTTCCATAATCATAGGTGTGGCATTTCTAAGCCACATTAGTTACATCTGAATTAAGAAAGAACCTGATTATTAGCATTCATTTTAAGGCTCAGAGTGGACCTAAGCTGCTGAATGTCTGTTCCCTCAAACATCTCTCAGAACAGTCTTCTAGAGCCAGGCTTCACACATTCTTTTATTGAAAGAGTTCCTTCAGCATGAATTGGGGAAGTAGAAGCCAGGACCACTCTCAATTTATCAGAGTATCTTACCCTTTGATTCCTAGCCCTAGAAAATCACAAACACGCAATTGCAAACAGTCTTCTCATTGCTTTCAATGAGAAAAATCACACTGCTTCCAGCATGTGATACGTACATTATGCAACCCCACATTCACTCAATATCTTTGGTGGAGGTCAAAGTGGGGTCCTAAGAAATTAAGGTCACTTACCCAAGTCACAAGAGGAACACATGACTCAGTGATTTTTTTTTTCACGTTATAAACAGTAACTATTCAGTTGCAAGGTTAGGTAAAAGTCTGTGGTTCAGATTATGTTACAAATTGAAAAAATCATTTCCGCACATAGGTCCTGCAAGTAGAGGCCAGCCCACCTACAAAGACTATAATTGTGTATATTTTCAAGAGAACACGCAAGGAGAAAAGACATTCATTATGCTCTTCACTTTAAAAAGTAATGAAAGAAATAAAAACTGGAACAGCCACTGTTCATGTTGAGAAATGGAGTAATAGCATCGTAGAGCACTGGGGAACACAGCTGGCTAAAAATTAAACCAGGGTTTATTTTCTAATTATAGCCAAAAGTGTTGTTTTGCTGTTGTTTCTGTTGTTCTTTGGTTTCAGTTTTGGTTTTTCGGTGGGGAGGGTTGAGACAGAGTGTCTCTTTAGCCCCAGTTAGCCTGGAAATCACTATGTAGTCCAGACTGACCTCAATGACTCAGAAATCTTCCTGCCTCTGCCTCCCCAGTGCTGAGATTAAAGCCATGTGTCACTACACCAAATTAGAATAGTATCTCAGGGTAGAGTGTTCTTGGCATGTATGAAGACTTGGCTTTGATTTTCAGTGTTAAAAGACAGAGAAAAAGAGAGAGACAGACAGACACAGAGAGACAGGCAGAGAGAGAGAAAGACAAAGACAGAGAGACAGAGATAGACAACAGAAGGACAAAGGAAGAAAGGAAGGAAGATTTTAAAAGAAGGGGCTGAAGAGATGGCATATTGGTTAAGAGCACTTGCTGCTCTTGTAGAAGATCCAGGTTCATTTCCTAGCACCCACATGGCAGCTCACAACCATCTGTAACTCAAATTCTAGGGAATCCAGTTCCTTCTTCTGGCCTCCACAGGAACCAGGCACACATATGGCACATATACATAACATGCAGGCATTCATACACATAAAATATAAATAAATAAATAAATAAATAAATAAAGCCCTGTCTAACTATTCTTGCCTATTCTTCTCCTTCACATCTCATAGACACCAGTCAAGGACTTTCTTTTCTCCCTACAGTCAAGAGTTATGCAATTTGGGAGTCTTTCAGGTAGACCCACTAAAGGGGGTACCCCAATTGCCACACTCTGCACCCACATTCAGTATGGAAGAAGCAAGAGCAGTCTGCATCCCAATTCCCTATTGGAAAATTGGGTAACCTCTTCAGAGGGTGGTGTGATAAGAATGGGATGTAGAAATTGGCTAAGCAGTTAGGGTAAAAGGACCCCAAAGAAAAGTAGCCAGTTTCTTTCTTGACTGAAAGTCAGAGTGTCCTTGGGGCTTTTAGCAACATACTCTCTTCCAAAGGCCAAAAATGTCAAAAGTATTTGGGAGACCTTATCTATCCCCAAAAGATTTTATGGTTACCTCTTCAGAGAGGGGAATCTTAGAATAGCAAAAAGGCCCATAAATTTCAGTGGTCAATACTATAAAAATCCCTAGTCTATCTGTTGGAGGACCTACATTTCCAGTCTCACTGGTCAATCACCTGGTGATAGAACCACCCCTAGGAAGGCAGGTTCACCTTAAGTTATGCTAAATAGTTGGGTGGTGTATTAATGAGGTAGTGAATTTTTCCTGCCAGGAATCCCACCTTGTAGTGCAGAACTCCACAGAACTTCTGACCAGCCACAGCCATGTAAGTCTGCACACTTCTGAATCTCCCTTTTCTTCTTCATGCCTTTCTTACTAACTTTACTTTTTCTCTGAAGCTTCCTTCTCCCAGCCATGTGGCTGCCAGTGTGCCATGTGTCTGACCTCCCATGCAGGTTCTAAACCTGCATGCATGCCTTCATGGCTTTCTTCTTCCCACCATTCACCTCCTTAAGGCAGTTGCTGAGATTATCAGCTTGCCTGCCCTGAGGATTTTTTCTTTAAAAATTCTAAGAAAATTATAAAAGCTTAAAAAAAAAAAAAGGAAAATTATTACAAAAAAGTCAAATTTGCCCCCAATGCAACTTAAGATAAAAGTAAATATTTTAGATATGTCTTACCAATTTATATGTCTTTAAAAACAAGACATATAATTCTCTTACAGTTCTGTGTTCTGCCTTTTACATTGATTATCATGAACATACTTTGTTTTTAGTCTTTAAACTCATTCATTGGCTATCTTACAATTTACCTATTTCTCTCAGAATTGAGGCTATTCTTAGTGTTTTATCTTCCTACTGAAACTCAGACTCAACCATCATTTGCTTTAGAATCATCAAAACTCTCCTATCTTTTGCCCTTTGTATTTTAGTCACCATAACTTTAAATTTCCCCTCTTACCAATGGTCCCCCAAAGTTGAATTCCTCACATAGCTCTGGATGTCTTTGCAGGCCCATTTACAGCTTCTGGTCTTCTGAAACCTTTCCACTGAGCCTTGTAAAATTTGTGGTCAGATATCAGCAAAAACCCCTACAGAATTCCCTCTTCCCTTCGTGTTCTCACTGTGCTCAATAGAAACCTGGTTGTCCCCTTGCAGATTACCATCCCCCTAACATCGCTTTCTCATTTCCGTCATGCCCCTGATCATCAAGATAGGGCAGGTGTCCCTGCCCCTCACTGTCAGCTTCATCCCTCCTGTCTTCCTCCTCAACACCACCACTCAGCTTTCAGTCTCTTCCCTCATCCATTTTCCTACTCTAGTTGCATGTTAAAGTCACATACTAACCCTCTGGTCAGCTCCCTTATTTCCTGATGATTCCTCCTTTGTGTCATTTCCATATTCTAGCAAAACTACTCACATAATTCTTCTCGATTTTAATGTCCATAAAATGAACTCCTCCATACCTTTCACTATCAAACCTGGGTCTCTGTATTCTCTCTTATGAATATCTGATTCTTTGCCCACCACCTGTTTCTCTCCTATTCAGTTCTTATTATGTCAATATTTTGAATCTTGTCATTGAAGCTCATACTTTGTCTCCAATGCCCTCGTTTTAAAGCAGCTTAGTATTCATGAACTTTCGCTCACATGGCTGCTTTGTCACACACATTTCACTGCTGTCCTTTCATTGGCCATTACTTAGTTTACTCCAGCACTGGTTAAATGCTCCTTTATCACCTTCAGAACAGAACCTCCTTAGCAAATGGCCTCACTGTAAGCTCCTGGTCACCCTCTTTGCTGCTCTGTCATCAGCTGGGGTCCATTTGTTCAAAGACATCTTCTTCCATCTTCAAGCCAAAAGCTTTCTTTCCATCCTTACTTTCCATTGTTGGTGTTACTTCTTTTTTGTATGTTCACATACGTGTACGTGTGTAAGTGCACATGTGTATTTCTGGGACTCGACCCTGGGAGCAGTTGGCCTTCCTAATTATATTCATCCCTGTGATGATCTTACCCAGGAACGTGACTTTCAATACATAGACTATGATACCATAGTATTTAAACATAAACCTTATGATTTAACTTTAAATCTATTCTAATATTTCTAAAATATTTCTAATATTTCTGATATTTCACTGTGGCATGAGGAAGTAATCTTTTCTCATATGTATAGTAAGCACACATTTTATCAATTAATATTTCCTCTTCATATTTAACGATGTCTAAATACGTCCATATTTGTTTTTCCATAGTAACATATCTTTAAGGTTCATCTATTCACTTTTTGCCTCCCTTCATCTGAGACTGTTTTATGTTGTGAAATCAAGGCGTCTCATCTCCCTTCTTTCTTCCAATTTTCTTGACTAGATGCTCATATATTCATTCTGCTGATGTATTTGTTCACTATTTCAGTCACTGCTCAACAATGTGTTAGTAGAATTTTGAATGAAGTTGCAGTCAACCTCCTTATAAAGAATCATTAAGTCTGTATTCAGCTATCCTCCTTCATTTTATATTTCATAGTAAATTGTTATGATAGTAACTGGATAGGTCATACATTTCATATAATAGAGTGGCATATTTCATACATTTTCATTTCAATAGTAAACATTAGATTTTTTGTTCCAATAGTACATTTATTAATAGATCTTTATTGGTAAAATTTTTCTTAACGTGTATTTGCTATTCATCATTTTTATTTGAATTCAACATTTTTATTTGAGATCCATAATTTTCAAATATTATATAATTTATTCTATAGATACAAAATACTGTTTTCATATATTTGTCATTGCTTTACTTCTTGTTGGGAGCTATATACATATTAATAATTTTATAGTATTTATTTTGGTCTTATAGAAAAAGTTAAGTAGATGAATAATCAGCAGCCTATGATTCCTGATTTTTATATAACTCTCATATCTTCTGCTGCAAAGGGTGTTGGTGGTAGTTCATCTAAACAAAGCATTCAGTCAAGTTAAGATATCAAAATGTATCATATGCCCATTTGTGGAGGGTGGGATAGAAGTAAAGATAGACTTAAGAAGTGATCATTTACGTGGTTTCAACTTAAACAATGAATGCTGTGAGTAAATGAACAGCTAATATTAGCTCTCCTTGATTCCTGAAATAATTACTGCCTTTAGTGTCA